GCCCCTGAGCAGGGCAGTCTCCCCGCTCAGACTCCTGGGGTTGTGTTGTTAGACATAAGGATCCGGTTGGGTGGTTTGTCCCTTTAGGCCCCATGGGACCCATTCTGGCCAATGAGCTGTGACCTGAACTTGACACTGTGACCCAAAGAGTCTGCTGCACGTGGTGTGGATAAGAAATAACCCTTAGCCCCTGAGCCAGAGACCTGGGGGCTTTCCTGATGCTACAGGGATGTGGGGAGAGAAGAGAGGGGCAGACACGTGACAGGAGCCTGGGGCAGGAATTTCACAAACACCGCCCACCCGCATTGTTTGCAACTCCACGTTTGCACATGCTGGTGCCCAGTAAAACTTATCTGCAAACCCCCAATCAAAATACTCCTGGTGCTTTCGTGCTCCCGTGCTGAGCAGGGCACAATCCGGGTCCCGGAGGCACGTTCCCAGCTGAGGCGGAGCAGGGTGACACTCTGCCTTCTGTTCCAGCTCAACCTGTAAACGAGTCTTTTCCCATTTCTGTGCTTTCTCTTGGCATTTCGCGACTGTAAACGAGTCTTTTCTGCGGTCTGCTTTTCCCATTTCTGTGCTTTCTCTTGGCATTTCGCTGTTTAAAAAGGCACCACGCGTGGTGCCATCTGGTATCCCTAAGCTCCAGCGGGCTGCCTCGTACTATCAGAGATATGTGTGAGGTGAGCTGTGTTCAGGTGTGAGTGACACTGCTGTTGGCAGTGAGTTCAAGGTTAACGATGCAGCAGTATCCGTATAATAAACAAGGTATCAACCATTTGACAAAACTGTGACCACAGCTACTCATAGAAACCCACCCATTTCCCTGAGGAGCCCAAGATTCACTCGTTCCGTTTTCTCCGCAACTTTAGTATAAAATCGAACGACTGCGAATGACTGCGAATAATGAGGGTCGACCCTGTATCCACAGCTCAGCGGAGGGCAAGGACGCACAGCCAGCTTTCTGGCGGAGAGCGGGCTCTGGGCCCCAAGCGCAGCTGTGATCTTAGCTGTCCGCTGCCTCAGTGTCACCATCTGTAAAATGGTGACAGAGCAGGGGCTTCCCACGGGCTGTGACGGGATTAAATGAGACACCTGTGTAAGGTGTTGCGAAGTGGTCCCCGAGATATGGTAGCTGTTACTGACGTTACTGTGCGCAAGGACAGGGGAGCAGGACTGGGTCTTCCTCATGACCTAGCATCCTGGGCCTCAGTTTCCACCTGCGGAACAGGAGGAGCAGCAGGGCCACCTCCCCGGGATTTCCCCCGCTTGCGGGGGCACGGCTGTCCGGCTGGCACAAGGTGAAGACCATGAGCCACACTCAGGGCCAGGATCAGGACTCCAGACGGCAGACGGCATAGTGTTTATTGCCCAGAGGACAGCCTGTGGCCTCCGGGCACTAGAGAGTCTTGACACAAATGATGTGAAGGCACCGGTTTCCATCGAGCCCACCTCTGCCCCACAGGGCTGGGGCAGGAGACCCCATCCAGCAGCCAGGTCCACCCCCATCGGGCCAGCAGCTCCCCATGGGGCTGAGGGTCCAGAATGCCCTGTGCTGCCAAGGCCCCCAACATGAGCTAGGGTGGGGCAGCTGCCAGTCCTGGGGGTGTGGTAAAGGGGCCCCTTCCCTGGGACAGGAAGGGGTTACGACACGCTGGGGGGCAGGCGTGCAGCTGCTGTTTTCTCCACCACGAAGCCGTAGTTGTACTGAGGGGGGAGGAAGAGCACAGAGTGAGCGAGGGGCCGTGGAGGGTGCTGTGAGGCACGGGGGGCGGGGGAGAGCCACTGAGGGACTAAGTGATCTCCAGCCCTGGAGAGGTGGGGTGCAGCTGGGGGAGACCTGGTGTGGGGGAGGGTCCCAGCACCCCCTGCCTTTCCTCCCCGCCCCAGCACCTACCTCCTCTTCAATGTCTGCCAGCGACTTGATGGTCAGATCAGCAAAGGCAGAGAAGGCCTGGTGGGCAGGGGCGGGTCAGTCTTGGACCCAGACCCCTACCTGGAACCCCATTCCCTCATCTTCGAGCCTCTCTCAATATCTGCCTGGACATCCCTCCCTCTCCCTGCACAGCCTCCGGCACCAGCATCCAGCTGCCCTCTGGACTCCCCATTCCAGACTGGTGCCCGCCAGCCCCACGGCTTGGTCTCCAGCCTCCCCCAACCCAGAAACTTGGGCCTCAGTGCTGGGGGCCGGGGCCTGGATGATGGCCCCCGTGTCCCGGTCTAGAAAGGCGATGGGCAGGGACAGACCCAAGTTCCCCCAGGGCAGACTCACCAGAGGGCCGCAGCTCTTGCCTTCAAATCGGGGGTGCAGCGTGAAGGGAACCCCATCCATGGCTGAGGAAAGCATGGGGTGGGGGGTAAGGGGGTTGGCTGCTGCCCACCCCAGAGCCCACCAGGCATGCTCCCTTCCCCCTGGCCAGTTTCATTTTTAATCCTCACCAGAGGATTTCAGAGAGAGGAAGGGAGAGAAAGAGAGAGAGGAACATTCATGTGAGAGAGAAATATCCACCAGTTGCCTTCTGTACACACCCCAACTGGGCATGGAAGCCGCAACCTAGGTATGTGCCGACTGGGAATTGAACCCAAAACCTTTTGTTGTAAGGGAGGATGCGCCAACCAACTGAACCACACGGGCCAGGGCAGCGCCCCTGCCAGTCTTTACAGAATGGGGTGGGGCCAGGTCTGATTCCAACCGTGGCCACGCCCCTTCTGGGCTGTATAAACCTTTGGCCGTAGCACCCAACCTCAACCCCAATCCCTCAGTTGCCGGCTCTGCACTCACCTGAGATGCCATAGAGGTTGGAGGCCTCGTAGATGGAGTCACTCCTCCGCAGGGTGGAGGCCCTGGAACCCAGTCTCGACAGTGTCCCCTCTGGGAAGCCGCCCTTGCTGGTGGTGATGGGACAGCCCCGGTCAGGCCT